CCCCAAAACCCCAAAACCCCAAAACCCCAAAACCCCAAAACCCCAATTTTAATTTCAATATTGAAATCTAACTATGAATTATATTGTTACAATCTCTGACGTAACAATTAAAGAATATTCACCTAAATCAAGAAGCAAAGATCAGCAAAATAGAAGGCAGGTTAAGAAACTTATGAAAATGGCAAAGGCCTGGAGCTTTATAGAAATCAGCTACATTTCTATAATTCGTTAAGACCAAACCTTGTCTAAGGCAAGATAACGGTTATTGATAACTTTCCTTCAAAACTTTGTGTAATAACATTTTAAGATTTTCCAAAATCCTCTTTTTATTGATCTATTCTCATTGGAAACAATTCAGCTGCAAGAGGAAATATTATATGGAATCTTAAAAGTTCTTAGAAATTTAAAACCCAGACAACTGACATAGGAAGCTAGACCTAGGCTTTAGATCTGTGAATTAAGCTGTTTTTACGGTAAAAATTCACTAAGAAATATATCATGGGTAAACTGAGATTAATCACTAAGTTCGATATCTGAACAATATTCCCTTACTTCATTCCTTTGCTCAATATGCCACACTAACTTCTTGGAGAAGACAGAGGAATCTCCCATTTGTTGTCAATGAGCATAAATGTTCTTACGGTCCTTTTTAGTGAAGGGGGCATCAGGACACGACTCTGCCTCTTGATCTAACTCAGATAGTGAAGCTAGTGTCTGGAGCAACTTATTTCTGATGTAAACTAATTTCCTGGTCAACCGTCTTATTTCTTGAAGAGTCTTAAGATATCTCTTGCCGAAGGCCTCAATGAACTCAATCAGAGTATTAGATAGATATTTTTCTATGAATTCGTCCAATTCAGGAATCCCTACTGACTTCCTATCAAGGTATTTGTACCTTGATAGGTTCTTCATACGGATGAATTTGCTAACTGGGACGTATTCAAAGAGGACAAGCATCATTTGGCTTTCACGAGGAAGAATGTTATCAATAATTCCTCTGAAACTCTTCTTCATAAGCTGAATTCGTTTAGTTTCTGCTGCAAAGGTTCCTAATTCTATTGCTTTCTGGTTATCTTCCTTAGATTCTCAATATGGTTTATTAATTCCTTGACTATCAGCAGGGTTCTCCTTCATCTCTTCTTTAGTAATGTTGAAAAAGGTACTCAGCTGAGGTAGCTTGATATCTGGCTTAAGTTCCTTAACAATTTTTGAGTGGTTTGCATCAGCAATTTTTCATTCAAGATCTTCAATGATTTTGGCCTGTTTAATAACTTCAGCTTTCAAATCCTTTATTTCGATTTTTAATTTATTGTTGTCTACTTCAAGATCTTCATAATATTTCTTCTTCCTCTCTCTATGAATCTTAGCACGTTCCTTTCCCGAGAGTCTAGCCCTGGCAGAAGAGCTTCTTTCTTCAGAGATTCTTTGCCTCTTCCGTTCTATTGGTTGCATCTTCGTATTCTATCTATATGTATTATTAATATTTTTAAGAGGGATTTTTAAACAGGGGTTTTGGGGTTTTGGGGTTTTGGGGTTTTGGGG